CACGTTATATTTTTCTACAACTCTAGTTCCTCCTTTTCATTTACGGCTATGAATATTGAAAAGCGGGATATTTGCAAAAAAAAGTGGCATTTTTTTCAAAAGCGGGACATTTTCGTACTGTGGCGTTGAGCGTACAAGCAAGTCAAAAAGCGTGGAAATACGCCTTAAGCGTGACGTCTGGCAACCCTAATGACCACCCATCAGATATTTTTAAATTTAGAGGATAAATTATAGAAAAACAAGCGTGCTGGGACGAATTTCAACTTAAAAAAAATGACAAATAGCCAGGAAGGTACAATTATGATCCAAAAACGTTTAAAATTATGTATTGAGTTTGACCACCTCCTAAAATAATTCAATAGGCCCCAGAGGACGTCAAAATTCTAAGAAAATATTTCCCAATCTAATTTCGACTTAAAAATGGCTAAACGATACAAGGACACAATAAAGATGCAAAATTGATTACAATTACATTTCGACGCCTAAAATAATTATAATTACCGCAAAAAATGTGTGAAAATTTGAAAAATACAATTTTAAAATATTTCGACTAGAAAAAAATGGTAAATCGACATAAAGCATGATGTTGATGTTGCATACAAGACATTTTTAGGCAAAACTGAGGAAGAAATACATAACAACCCAAACAGATTCTGGGCATTTATAAATAATAAACGAGGTAGTTCCAAAATATCACAAGTATTGAATTTTGAAGGTCAAATGCTGGAGGGGCCTTCTAATATTCTAAATGGTTTTGCAAATCTTTTTAAACAGTCCTATACTATTTCTTCCCCTTTTCAACCCAATTCTGGGACAAATAATAATCACTTTTTAAATATTACAAGCTTCAGTGAAAAGGAAGTATATGAGGCACTAAGATCACTTAAGCCAAAAAAGACCACCGGATCAGACGATATTCCAGCTTTTGTCCTAAAAGATTGTTCTTCTGTGCTTGCTCGTCCCCTCTCCATACTAATTAATATTTGTTTAAAATCGGCTACAATACCAGAGATCTGGAAATCCTCAAAGGTCTGTCCCATTTTCAAGAAAGGAGATAGACAAGATATTTCAAATTATCGACCTATCTCTATTATATGCAACTTTGCAAAGGTTTTTGAAATCCTGTTAGAGCGAGTTATATGTCGTCATGTAAGTTGTAATATAAGTATAAATCAACATGGTTTCATGAAAAGTCGTTCAACAGTCACCAACCTCCTGACCGTTACCCAATATATTGCTGAATCTATTGATAACAGAGCCCAAACTGATGTTATTTACACAGACTTTTCTAAGGCCTTCGAGGCATTCTGCTTAACAAACTTGTAGCTTTTGGATTATCTCCTTCTTTAATTTCACTATTTCAATCCTATCTATGGGATCGAAAGCAATATGTCCAGCTTAATGGTTTTAGGTCTGTTGAATATAGTGCTTCTTCTGGTGTTCCACAAGGGTCGAATCTAGGACCCCTCCTTTTTATTATGTTCATTAATGATATTGCAGATGTTATAAATGTAAATTTGCTTTTGTATGCTGATGATCTAAAACTATACTGCCTCGTAGAGAAGATAGGTGATTGCGAGAACCTTTCAGCAAACCTAACACGGATTGTTGAATGGTGTTATCAAAATAACTTGTCACTAAACCCAGATAAATGTAAAGTTATGTCGTACAGTTTAAAAACGAATATCCTAATATTTAATTATTCAATAGAAAACGTTGCTCTTGAGCGACCGAAAACATTTACTGATCTTGGCGTCACGTTTGACACTGCACTATCATTTAATAAGCATATTGATAATGTTGTATCCTCCTCCTATCGAATGTACGGATTAATTGCACGTAGCAGTAGTGATTTCAAAGAAACCTCTACCTTAAAAACTCTATTTTATGCTTTTATAAGATCAAAGTTAGAATATGCTTCAGTTGTGTGGAGCCCCTTTTATCAGTATCATATAGATCGAATAGAAGCAATTCAAAGACGATTTTTAAAACTGCTAAGCCTGAAAACTGATGGCATTTATCCTCTAATAGGTACACCTCACTCTGAATTACTACAAAAGCATAACTTTTTCAGTCTCGATAGAAGGCGTGATTATTATAGTGTAGTAGTAACTTATAAAATTATTAAAAGTATTATTGACTGCCCAACCTTATTAGAAAAGTTTAATATTTGCATTCCCAGAATTTCTTCCAGACACCCGAATACTTTTTATATAAATACATCTCGCACAAATGTTATGGAAAATTCTCCGCTCCATACCATGTGTACAGTAACAAATTCTATTGTCAATGAACTTGATATATTTAGTTGCAATTTGTCAGATATAAAATCTCACTTTTTATCTTAGTTAATTTGTTACCTATTACGAAATACAAGTTCTTTTTATGTGCTTAACATTCATATAAAAAATGTGATCTATTAATAATTATATTCTGTCAATTCCTGCTCTGTAATTGGGTTTATGACCTGTAGAGTATTGTATTATAAATAAATAAATAAAGGCCTATAATCGTTTGTAGTATATTGTGTCACAAGGGCAGAAAATGAGCTTTAGCAGCCCCCGGCATGAGAGAGCGAAGCGAGGGCAGCTGATAGCTAAGGACTGCTAAAGCGATTTCTGCATGTGTGGCACACAATTGTTTTTCGCTTACAAAAAAGGAAAATATAACGAAAATCTTTAATTTGTTGGCTTCCCCTTGCAAGTTTGGCTGAGTATTTGTAAATTCTTCCTCACTGTCTGAATGACTATTCATGTTCACTAATAGACTTACACTGACGTTTAATCAAAAAGATTACATATTTAACCCTCTACCTTTACGTTATTCTTTCAGGGTGCCTTCAGGCAGTCCTTTTCTCACTTTGTCGATAACAATCGAACCTGTAAATGATAAAATTTTCACTGCAGCTCTCCGTCTATTTTTTCCAATCTAAATTGTTCAAACTTCTAGAACATATTGTTAGTGTAACAGACCCGCAACGATATATTCACCCTGTATATTACGGTGATTCGACGACACGATTATTGCCGCGTTTGAGAATCCACATCGGATGCATTTTTTACATCTCGAGCGTTTTTTACATCTCGAGCGTTTTTTTATCCACATCGGACACATCTGTCCCATTACATTTACGTATACTGAATCACGTGATCAAAGATTTTTTACATCTGAGATGCATCCGATGTGGATTCTCAAACGCAGCATAAATATACACAACCAAACTTATATGTAATCATCTATTATTTTTCATAATTTTTGAGATGTATAAACATTTTTTTTATGAATAACAATAAAAATAATCAATTAGTTAACAAAATACACAGTTTCTAGGTACACGCTAACTTGTACGCAATTCAAAAAGTTATGTACACGCGAAACGTCTTGACGGAGTAGGTGAGCGGTGTGAAGGGCGTTGAAATTTGCTTACGAGAAGTCGTTGCTTCGTTTTTTTGTTGTCACGGCATTATTATTATTATTTGTTCATGTATATGAAATTTGCTTCTAAGATTTATAAAATACTACTGCTAGTCACGGCGTAAATGACAACAAACAAGACGCATTCACATAAACACCACCCACCACAGCAATATGACGTTTCGCGTATATATAATTTTTTGATTTGTGTACACTTTAGCGTGTACCTAGCAACAGCAGCGAACAAAATAAACACAATGGTATTTTTTTGGTTTCTGAAACGAAATGAGATTTAAATTTTTAATAGCGTCTCACGCGGGCGTCTGTGGTTACGGCCTACGGGTTAAGTTAGGTCCGTATTTATATATATGACTCGACTGAGTCGTCTTTGAACGAAAATCGAAGTGGGTTATAACTTCTCTAAAGTTTCAGGTACGGTCTGTTCGCTATGCAAATTAGTCATTGACAACCAGTTCCAATAAACCTCTTCCCAAGAAATTAGGTAAAATTGCCCTAATGGTCAGATTTAAATTAAAATAACATTAGGGTAGGTACCATATTTTCTGTGTGGAGTGTAATATAAAATTATTAATAGGTTTATAATAGCCACATTAGACTCCATTAATGAAGAAGTTTAATTCTGCTCTCAATTATACAAAAGATTCTCCATTATTATTTAATTAAAAAGTTGTACATTATTCGTCATTTCATTTAACCAGTTGATATTTCCCCAAAGAACATGTCAAACTTTTGGGTACTTACCTGGAAATTTTTAATCCGAAACCCGCGTAAATATAGCGAACAGACTGTAGTTCCGGTGTTAGACTGGAATTTAGTAGTAGCAAATCTGTAACTGTTAAGTACATTTACGGATTTATTACTACCCATTTCTAAATTCACATGGTAAAAGCTAACATCGGCACTATATAAATTTCCGTAGATACTTACCGTCCAAATTCCACGTCAATCGGTGTAGTTCGTAAGAAAAATCGGCAAACCCTGAATTATAGATTGTTACATGTTTTTTACTGATGTTATTTCATTTTACCTTTGCTTTTTTAAAACCTTGTAGTAATTGAATTAAACCAAAACCCTTAGTCAAAAAAAAAAACAATAGATACAATAAAAAACCACCGTTTATGTTTTTAGAAATTTGGTCTTACTGGGTCTATTTTTTCAGATCAAGTTTTTCCACTTCGTTCCTTTGTTAAGTCGTCCAGGCGGTAAGTCTAGTTCCGGCTAGACGGCGTTTTTCAGCAAAACTCGAAAAACTACATCAAAAAACGGACAATTAGGTCAACTACAATAAAAAAAGAAATGTATGTCTGCAATCATGATATTGGTTAATTTTTCTAAAATTGTTTCAGTTTTCAAACAAAATATTGATGCATTATGTCTAATACGCAATTTAAATAGTAGGTATTAGAGAAAATAAATGTTAACATGATTGTAGATTTGAAAGCCTGATATCGGGCACCAAATTTATAATGAGAGAGTGGTAGATCAAATTTATTTTTTCGAACCTTATTAATGCCATTTGTTTTTCCTCACCCTGGTGGTCCCTCTTCACTTTCTGCTGTTCATAGGATGAAGTCAATGGAAAATCCAAAGAGAATGGAGATATACGCAGGAGTCGTCCTAGCGAGTAAGTAATTTTATTTATACAGGGTGATTCTAAAAACTTGCTTTTCATATAAAATTATTAAAATGTGTTAATAAAGGGTATTAAGTTTAACTCCCAAACCGTGCTATTTTTCAAAAATTTTGAAGAAAATCTAGTATTATTTTACCAAAATTTGATCCGGCTTAAAACATTTGTTCTCAAGAAAAATCAGATAATTAACTTTTTTACAATTAAAAAAGAAGAATATCAAGAGATCATTATTTCATAAAATAAATTAGTTTTGGTTTAGAATTTTTTGAAAACGTTTAAATTTGCATAAATGACTTCATTGAAAAATATATGTATATTTTATATATTTTATCCCTGTCCCGAAGTCTATCAATCAAAAATCGGTTTTGATAATAATTAGACTTAGAAAAATATGCATTTAAAAACAGTCGAGTTTATGCGCATTAAATATGCATGATTCGAGTACAAAATATGCAAAAAACTCAGTATATGCAAAAAACCGTGTATTCGAAAATTATTAGGTAAATATGATATGGCATATAATTAAAACTTTCATACACTAAACCAAGTTAAAAGGTCTAAAAAGAAATTTTTATGTATAATATGCAAATATCTTAGAAAAATGCAAATAAATCTTTTATTTGCATAAAATATGCAAAGTGCATATAAGTCTAGTAATTTCTCTTTGGCGATTTCTGTCTATTTTACAGATTTCCAAATTCTAAGAATTTTGAATAGGTTTTTTGTACGGGTAATGTCTCTTTGGGACATATCTTGCTTTATTTAAACGATTATTCTTCCTCTCTGCACATCTGATAATCCCACAAGAATTTTTTTTACGAAAAACAAAACATGTGAAAATCTAATTAAAAGTGAAAATTATGAACATTCTTGGCCTTATTTTTGTAATTTTCTTAAGACTAACTAAGTTTTACAAGACATATACTTATATTATTATGAAAAAATATTTACAAATAGTTTTTGGTTTTAATTTTTCTTTTCAAAATGTTTGAAGATTCAATCATTTTTTCCCTAGTTGTAATTAATAAGAGATAATTAATAATTTTATGAAAATTGAAAGTGTATTTAGAATCATTTCATATATGTTTAAAATAACTATTTATTTACCATATTTTTGTCTAATCGCATTTTTTCAAATTATTAGTAAGAGACACCGAAGTACCAGTAGAAGCCATAGGAGTACAAGTCGCGGACGTAGGAGTACCAGTCGCGGGCGCAGAAGTACCAGTCGATCTAAAGACAAGCGACGAAGCAGCAGAGATCGGAAACGAAGTAGAACGCCGGAAAAAAAACGGCGCTCATCCAGAGAGAGGAGGCGATCTCGATCGAAGGAGAGACGAAGCCGATCGAAAGACAGACGCAGCAAATCGAAGGAGAGGCGTAGCAGATCCAAAGATAGGCGAAGCAGATCGAGAGATAAGAAAAGGAGAGAAAAGCGCAGCCGCAGTAAAGATCGTAAACCGAGCCCTAAAAAACGGTCACCAACTCCTCCAGGTAGATGATTGAGTCAAATTAGTTTAGGAATTTTATTAATTATATTATTATTTCCTATAGTTAAACCTCCATTTCCAAAGAGAGCTCGTTCACCTCTTGGTTTGAGAGGTACATCGCCTTTAGAAGAACTCAGTCCAGAAGAACGAGATGCCAGAACCGTATTTGTTATGCAATTGTCTCAGAGGATTCGCGCTCGGGATTTAGAAGATTTCTTCAGTTCCGTAGGAAAAGTCCGAGACGTTAGAATGATAGTTTGCAATAAAACCAGGCGATTTAAGGGTATCGCCTACATAGAATTTAAAGATCCCGAGAGCGTAGCTCTAGTAAGTTTTAACGTATTTATACAAACATTTTGATTATAACTGTATTTTTTAGGCTTTAGGTTTATCTGGTCAAAAACTTTTGGGCATTCCGATAATAGTACAACACACCCAGGCGGAGAAAAATAGAATGGGCAACGCCATGCCCAATATGTTGCCTAAAGGTATGACAGGACCTATGAGACTTTACGTCGGATCCCTCCACTTTAATATAACCGAAGAAATGTTGAGAGGTATATTCGAACCTTTCGGCAAAATCGACAGCATCCAATTGATTCAAGATCCCGAAACTGCGCGATCTAAAGGCTATGGTTTTATTACAGTAGGTGTTTAAATTGTACAATTTTTTTAGGCGTTCTTCATATACGAGAATCATAATTAGGGCTCTATGATTATCAAAATAAATAATCGATTATTTTTGATCAGTTAGTTAATCGATTATTTTTGGTTATTCAGTTATTCGATTATTTTTTATTAATCGTTTATTTGTACATTAAAATAATCGATTATTTTGGATTAATCGATTAAATTCGCTTAATCGATTGTTTTTTATTAATGAAAAATCCGAATAATCAGTAAAAAAAATAATCACATCATGTATCACTAGAGTATAGCAAGCTAGTTAATAGTTGTAGTGTTTTAGAACAGCATGATTTTGATAACTATTAATAAACCTAATACAAACCCAAATAAAAAAAACTGATATAAAAATAGGTTTTTAAAATATATTATGTTTAACATTTCTTACTATAATTTATTTTAAAAGGAAGTTATAAGGGATTGAGTGTCTCATTTAATAAAAATTCCTCAAAAAAAAATTGTATAATTTTTTATTACATCCAAAGAAAATTATTTTTTAGTATTTCCTTTACATTCGATTAATCAGTCATTATATTATTTCAATTAATCAATGACTCGAAGTCGAATATAATTGTCTTTTAAAAATCGAAAATATGCGATTATTCGAAAATAATCATTTAATCAATCGATTATTTTGCCTACCCCTAATCGTAATCCTAATTCAACATAATAATTTTCTTCCAGTTCCATAATTGCGACGACGCGAAAAAAGCTTTAGAACAATTGAACGGCTTCGAACTCGCCGGTAGGCCGATGAAAGTGGGCAACGTGACGGAAAGATTGGATTTGCAGCAACAGGGTCCTTCGATTTTGGATTCGGACGAATTGGATAGGTCCGGCATCGATTTGGGAGCGACGGGCCGTCTCCAGTTGATGTTTAAGCTCGCAGAGGGCGCCGGAATGCAGGTTCCTCAAGCGGCGGCGAATGCGCTCAGCATGGCGACCGGCCAGCCCGTTGTTCCTCAAGTACAAACCCACTCGACGCCGCCGATAGCTACCCAGTGTTTCATGTTGAGTAACATGTTTGACCCTGCAACGTAAGTCTTTTTTTTTTATTATTAATAGTCGTCAAAAAACATGACAAATTCAGAATATTTTTACAAAATTCTGGTGGAATGTTTTCGATTTACAATAATGTTTCATTTAAATTAGCTATAACGAGTTTTTAATACTAGTACAGAAACTAATTGATAAAAATCTTTAGTTTTCTAAAAAAAAAAAAACCTTCATTTATACCTTTAATTGAGCATGTAGAAGCAAATGGGTATTAAAATTTTATTATAGTTTATTATTTGCGCTCTCAAGCAGTCAATAGAATAATCATAAATGGTTACAAGGTTGCCATTTATATTATCAGTTAAAAATGTAAATATGAAACTTACTTTTGAGTTTTTAAGGTTTTCCGCTTCGCAATAAAACATCGCATATTTCATAAAACTCGATCTATTCTAGGAAGATGGAAAAGTTTTCCGAAACATGTAATGCTGAGCTAAACAATAGAAAATAAAAACGACCAAATAAACCAAGGAAAATTTTTATTTTTATAAAATTATGCTTCGTGCAAGAAATTATTCTTATTTAAATATTATGATAGAGTTATATCGGACATATTTATTTAAACTGATTATTTCTTGTTTTTCTTTTCAGAGAGACAAACCCACATTGGGACATAGAAATTCGCGATGATGTGATAGAAGAGTGCAATAAACACGGTGGCGTGTTACACGTGTATGTAGACAAAGGTTCTCCACAGGGCAACGTCTACGTTAAGTGTCCTTCAATTGCGACGGCCGTGGCTTCAGTGAACACGTTGCACGGTAGATGGTTCGCCGGTCGTGTCATCACGGCGGCATACGTACCCCTCCTCAACTACCATTCGCTATTTCCCGACGCCATGACGACTACGCAGTTATTATTACCTTCAAATCGGAAGTAAAGTTAAACGCGAGACTTGAAAACTGTTTCGGGCATGTCAACTATCAGTTTCAATAGTGTTGCTCTTTTGCTATGTTGACATTCGGCATGTTACCTAATGAAAACTAAAAACCGGCTCAAAAGTGCGCGAGTGTATGTAATTAAGTATTGTATCAATATTGATGAATGAGTTCTGTAGATAAGTTGTTTTATATTCATTATAAGTATTCACCTTTACTTAGTACTTCAATATTAATTTTATTGTAATATATTTCTTTGTAAAATTTTTTTGTTTAATTTCGGAATTATTCTTTAAAAATATGGACTATTTTTATAATTGTTATGTTACATTAAACGAATAAATTTAATACCACAGAATAGGGAACAACACTACACTATTCTACTCCATTCAACGACGCTGCTATTGCTTTCTTTAATAAAGCAGAAAACATAAAGCAACAGGTGGATAAATGTTTTCCATCTAGTGAGGAATAGCACAAGATTGCTTAAGCTACTGTTGCGCTACAGTTTTTTGCGTATAAGCCTTGTAACGGTATGTCTTTCATACTGTTATTTTTTAAACCCCTCTATTGCGTCATATGTTTTCTTGCAATGACAATTCTGTGTCTGTCAGTCGAGAGACATTTTGGGATTGACATTCCTTTCTGAACATGATGTCATGAAGACGAATTTTGAATAATCGAGATAAAGAGATGTTTTTTAACTTTTAAAAACCTGTAAGTCAATTTTCCTCAATCAATTTATTTTCATTTTAATAATAAATATTTAACGCGATATGAACTGTCGATCCTCAGTTAATTTACCAGCGCGAACGCCGATGTAAAAATCGTGCGTGGTAAGTCTGTCTTTAAGTGGGATTTCTGATAGGAGAGGGAATCAATAGAGGACTTCTATACAAGGGAAGGGCAACCAACTTGACAAAATAAAATTGACACTAATGACATAAGAAATCGGGTCACATAAAGAGGCTGTTTTTTAGTTTGATTTTTGGTTTTTCCTATCTACTTTCATGCCATTTACATACCTTGTTGTACCCGTAACGTGAAAAAGACTTTTTAGTTTAGGGTATTTTACATTTAAAGGTTGAAATATTTTGTCATTGTCAGCTGTCAATTATGTTGATGATAGAACACAGGCGTATCCATAGATGGGCATAACGTAACTAGCATTGTATGTTGGTTGTATATTGTATAGAACTTGTATTCGTAGCAGCAGCATTTTGCAATCGACATAAATAAATAAAACCAAATGAAAAATAATGTTTCAAAAAAGCAGGAGAAACACAATTAGACTATTAACAACAAAAAATAAAATGCAATGCTACGCTTATGTTTTGACATTATCGACAGCTGATATTGACAAATGTTTTCAACCTTTAAATGTAAAATACCCTAAAATAAAAAGTCTTTTTTACGTTATGGGTACAACATGGTATCTAAACGGCATAAAAGTAGATAAGAAAAACCAAAAATTTAACAAAATAACAGCCTCTTTATGTGACCCGATTTCTTATGTCATTAGTGTCAAAAAAAATTTGTCAAGTTGGTTGCACTTCCCTTGTATAGAAGTCATTGATAAGGCAACGTAAGGATACGTCATATGTATTATTTTTGATATACAAAAGTGGGACCGGTAGGCGTGGCTTTTGCACTCACTAAAATGGCGGAAGAGCAGAACCGGATTTACAAGTTTTTATTGTACTATTTCTGGTTAAGTATCATTATTTGAATTATAAAAAAATTATTTTCCTTTTTATTGACATTGACTTAAAAGGTGGTGGAAGGCAGAGGTTATAAAAGAAGGGGATTTAAAAGCTTAAATATGCCCGGTTTTCAGCCGAGAGGTGCTGAATAAAGTAAATGAAAGAAATAAAATATAACTGATTTAATTATCACTCAAGGGCTATTAAGCGCTGGAGAATATATTATTTGCAAAATTGGAACTAATCAATAACCATGATATAACTAACTTGGGGCCGATTTCACCATTGGGTTTAACGAAGTTTAAAATGACATTTTTACATAAAATGTAATTTTAATTTTCAATTAATAGTTTAAACTTTAACACAATGGTAAAATTAACCCTAAAGCGTTGAAATCATTCACAAACAAAAAAAATAATACAATTTTGGTTCACATAGGGTGATATTACAGAACGTCTGCAACTTTGCATATCTGCAAATATGGCGGCAAATTTGAAAATCTGCAAATATGACTGACTTAAACATGCAAGTATCAAGTTTTCGTATTCCAAATTTGGGTTTAGTGTTGTTGGGGGTAATAAACCACAATAAATATTGCGAATTTGCAGATATTTTTTGGAATACTTGCATTTGTAAGTCCGCCATATTTGCAGATTTGCAAAGTTGCAGACGTTCTGTAATCTCACCCATAAGCGACAAAAGTAAACACAGTTCGATTTATTGGATCAGTAGTCACACGTTTGCACTAGGCACAGAACACTTGCACTAGGGCACATAAATAGCTCAATCTTTAGTTTTTCGTTTTTCTATGAGCCCAATGCTTTCTGTCTTTAAATCGGAAAGTACAAGGTCCCAAATGTTAAGTAATCTAACCTTACTTTAATTAACAGCTTTCTCGAAATTAAGAACAAATGTTCATACACTAAAAGTTCGATAATCAGATACGAAACTTAATGCAAGGCTTGCGGAAAATGGCTAATAAGCAATCTCTGTGTAGGTAGATGCACTATTCAGGAAATCAAAATGTGGATTAATCTTACTTGGTCTTGGTACTTTTGTAGATTCAGACTGAAAGGTGTATATCTTCATGCAAGACATTCAGTAAATCAGCGAAGCCACAACCAGCGGTGTGCAGGTGCACTTCTAACAAATGTAAAATATGAAGTTATCTTACTTGAGACCTATAGATCCAATGACGATATTATGGTAATTGGTTTGAGCTGGGCTTCTCACCATCTGCAGAGATTATGGCTACTTATGTAAAGGCCTACCGTAGTAACACACAACATGCACCACAAGCGTGCCGGTCCAATTTAATTGGTCTATGCACAATAATCATGCATGTATAATTGAAAGTCAGACAAAGAATGTGAAGATAAAATTGAAGTCTCAATCATAGTTAAAGTCACAGATGAAGTTAAAGTTAACAACAAAAGAGTTGAAATTGTAGGCTGGTGATAAAGGGACCAACATCTAGGTAATAAATGTTTATCGAGTTAGGAAAAGTATCCACTATAAGCGCTTTTTTTGATCACTAAGGTAAAAACCAGAATATTTCCTAATACACAATTTCTTCGCTAGGCAAAATAAGAAATAAATTTATGAGAGTACTTCCCAAGTGTTTTCACAAAAGCTCTAAGAACAAAATTGACGAAAATGGCCTAATCCAAGTTCAAATTCTAAAACTTGAACATTAAACTCTGTAAAACAAGTAAAACCCCGTTGTTGACTAAATGGTTGAGTAATTCATTACCTAGGTGGAGGTAGAATGGGGACTAAAGTTTAGCAGAAAAAGCTACTAGAAAAGGTGAACAAAATAGACTGGGACATATGAACATCAAGCAAATATTGTAAATGAAAATAATGTGTGCTGTGATTAAATAAAAGTGTACAAGGAATAAAGTTTTAATATTTTCTTATCCATATCTAGGAGTGATATTTATTTTTAATACTAGACAAACGGTTATGGTTTTGTTGCTAGTCTCATTAAAAAAAAAACTAAGTGAGTATTGATGTTAAATATTTATTATTATAAGAACTTATATGCACTATACTATGCTTTAACATCACTAAACTAACTCAAAAGGCTTGGTCTCTTGAGTCTTCTTATTCGATTTGGCATTGTTGAGGAGCTGGATAATCTCGAGGTTTCCATGCTGGAGCAGTTGTTGTTAGTGACTACTGGCAAATTTTTGTATTGTATTTCCAACAGTCTCCACTTTAAGGTCCCTATGAAGATCAGTATTGTTGCAGTACCAGGATGCATTGACGATGTTCCTTAATGATTTATTCTGGAAACGTTGAATAACTTTGATGTCACTTTTCTGACACATCCCCAAAGTTGGCGAATCACTTCATTTTCATCAATTCCTTTAAACGCACTAATCTGAAACAAACTATAGGTAATTAAAAAGGTATATTAATATTGTTTTAAATTAACTATAATAAAACAAACAATACTCATGCATACACAAAACATGAAGCTCTACTTTTCAATCAGCTGTAGAAATAATAAATAAAATTGGTGGAAGGACAGCAAATGTAGGTTATATTTAAATAGAAATAAGAATATAAAATGCCTATAAATTAAATTTGATAAACGAAATGGCGTACGATTAATGTACTTCTCAAGAAAATGCTTGAAACATATACTACTGAATTTAGAAGGTTACCAATTATAATTGTTGACAAACTGTATCCACGCGCTACGTTTTATAGGATTTTCTGGAAATCTATAGATATTATTTCGTATGAAAAAGTATTATTCCAATATAGGTAGGCCCAACAGTTGATAGATGATTTTTTTTGCATTTTTAAAAGCATACTGTCCTGTATAATATTTATAATTTTGATACTAACCTATGAAACGTTATTCCAGTCGATTTTTCACAAAAACGTCTATCGCTAGAGCAGGAATGTATGAATGTATAACACAGCAAGGCATTATATACTTTATAAGTTTGTAGCACTCAAAATTTGCTCAAACACAAATTAAATTCAAATTTAATTACACAAATGACACTAAAAATATAACCTATAAAATTTGACAATTTGCACTCACAGTAATGGCGGACCGGTCCCACTTTTCGCTTACTCATGTCGTATCCCTAGGTTGCCAGATCAATGATAGAAGTCCTCTATTAAAATGATCAGTTCGATATAATTTTTGATTCCGAGCAGTTTACTCTAATACACCGCTTTAGATATCAAATCACCGCCGATATTTTTTTCCGTTTTCTTGTATTTACAAATCCGTTAGGTAAAAAACTTTGTTCCGCTTTTTACGTTTGAAATTGAGACCGTATTTCATTTTAAATAGCGAATTAGTTTGTAGGAATATTTTTATAGATAGTGTTTAATTAAAAGAAATAATTTGATTTCTTTAATAAATAATAGAATTTGTTTCTTGGCAAATGATTTATTTTTTTTTTTATAGCTAGTGTTTAGATAAAAGATTTAGTTTGATTTAGTTAATAAACATTTGAATTTATTTTTTTTTACAAATATACCGTTTCTTTAAAAG